GATGATTGATATTCTAGTCATTGCATTGATAATTGTTGTACCATTTGTTTTCTATTCTTTCTTAGGTTTCCTGAGAAGATTCGCTTCTTTCGCAATATTGGTCAAGGAAAAGTTGATGAAAACCAATCTATTTACAATGGAAAGTAGGATGTGTAGGTCAATAAACGCTCAAAAAGTGGCTATCATATCAACTCGCATCTACAGTGTGCTGCTCATTGGATGCATAATTGTACTTGGAATTTTCGCTCAACTTCGAGAAGTGACAATTTCTGAAACAGTTTTGTCACCTTCACTCATTACTATCGAGAAACTTCAAGAAACCTATTCAAACACGCTTTCCTGTCCATGTCATCAAATCGCTGTGCCATACAATAGGTTTCTTAATGTACAAGTAAAGTTTCATCAGGTAACTTGTACAATCAGGAGGTATCATGTATCTCAAACTGGACTATAATCTACCTTAATAGCTTTATTTGGTCAGTCTGACGATTATACCATATATTGTAGGTATTCTAGAGATTGACAATTGGTGGATGAGGATGATGATCTCCTTTTTACTCTCACCGACTCTTGATTGGTAAAGCGACGGTCGCTACACTCTAGCGAAGTTTATTTACATTTTCGGTCAGCAGAAACGAAAGACCAGAGGTTATACTAAGTCTAATGAGCTTCGAACATCATTCGTTGACCAATACCATCATCCTTTTCGATAAACTATCATCTTCTCACTAGTTTTTTAGATCCTCTACCAATTGAACTTACATGTGAGTATTTAAGGATAAATTTGGCTTAAATCAGCTAAAGCTTTATAGCGTGTACATGCTATAAAGCGCATATTTTTAAGTAGTTACCAACAACTTCATTCATGTGAGCAATGCTTTAGGTTGGCTTGAGTTGGAGATCTATTTTTAATTATCTATTTCTTGCATTCCATTTTTAACAGATTCAAATAAGAAATGAAAAAGAGAATAAATCGAAGACCAAATATCAAAACATGCAGTTTCCAGTCTCGTCTACTCGTCGTCAGAAGAACAATGAATCGCTGTTGTAGCATTGTAAAATACAAATAATCTCAGCGCTTTGATATTTACTAAATTCACTAATGTAAATTAGTCACTCTATTTCATACAAGCAGCCTAAATTCAATAATATGGTACGACTGAAACTGAAGAGAAATTTGTTTCATATCTTGTCTCGTTAGTTTGCTTTGGAAAAACGATCATGTAATAAACTCTCGATCCGAATCAATTTGAAAGAAAACTTAAGTTCCTATTTTGAAAAGCTGCAGCTGATCAAGTTATAATAATACCTGCTTCATTAACTGGCAACCAATAGCCTACAACTAGTTCGGTTTTCTAACTTCTGATATCATCATTACATATTACATAGAACATCAAGAAAAAAATTAAGTCAAAATTATCCTGATAAGCACTGGCTAGAGACTGACCAATTACTAGAAAAGCTATCAATAGAAGATTACCATTGCGTTTACAGTTAAATTCTAACAAAAAATAACTTTGTACTGAATTCTCGCAGGGTACAAATGTAGAACAGGATGGAATCACTTCAATAGTGCTTGAAGACACTTTCTAGAAAGAGCAGTCGTAATGAGATTTGTAATGACATTTTTCAGATTGATCTTCTAGGCTTGGAATAGAAATGATGATTTGATATCCGAGATAATCATATATTAAGAAAATCTGCTTGTACAAGACCTGAATTTGTTATTCTTACTCATCTAAATTTCAAAGTCAAAAAAGTATATTGATTCTTTTGACATGAGCTCTTCTAAACATTCTATTTGGATTGGGAAAACAAGGATTGAGTGATATACAGCGAGCCAGTATATAAAATCTATCCCATAATGCAATCTCGCAAACTTTTACTTAAGTCGGATATGTTTTCGATCGAATTAGTGTATTTTACTGTGCTATTTCATATCAGAATGTGATACGATTCGCTTGATAGTCTACCTTTAAGGCTATCTTTCCTCCAAAAAATCAACTTTTCGAAAAAAAATACACTTTGTAAGATAAATATATAGGTATGCCTCCTAAAGTATCTTGTTTGAAAATTGATTAAAAAATTTCCAATTGCGAAAGGCTTTTTTTTAGATTTATGATGAGTTTCTAGAGCTTCCTAGCAAACATATCAGAACAGAAATCTATAGAAAAACTATAATTTCTATCTGAATTATGTTCTTCTATCATGACCTGACGTTTTATTGATAGATCATTAAATGAAATTCAAGATGAACTTGAAATTGATATGTGATAAAATCATATTCGATAATGAAACTGGTTTTTGCATAAATTGTCAAACTGAGAACATATTTTTTCAATTTAGTTTGTTTAAGTGAACTTTATTGTTTTTTATTCAATAGATAGATGGATACTCGTTCAGATGAGGGAAACGGATTTTTTATTTGATCCTTGATATTGAAGCAATCACGCGTTTTCTAGAAAAATATGTCCAGAATTTCCGGAGGTTCAAGGTTTTGAGGACTCTAAAAATGAAATAAAGTAAAAGTTGAAGAAACTCTTTCCTTCATATGAAACGGTAAAACAGTTCTCTTTCAAATGATTGTAGCTTGAGTACTAGAGCTTCAAGTGTGTTGAAAAATATTTTTGTACACGTAAGAGCTCTGCTTTGCACCGTGGTCTATGAAATATTATTGATATACTGCCACAAGACAAATATCTCTAGAGAGTTTCATAGAAATCCCATTTATTCTGCCGAAATCGATTTTTGAGGAAGGCCTTAATGACATAAATCTATGTTAGAAAACATACGAAAACATTTAGACTAATGCATGGTTTCATATTTTTTAGATTAAAATAATAATTGAGGAGTGTCGGATTTGAACATATACCTATTGAGATTCAATTGTTTCTCAAAGAAACGAATTTTTATGAACTGTGAGATTTTATCTTTTCAACTTTGATAGTACATATCTGTAGGAATCGATCCAATGATGCATATCCTTGATGACACCTTTGAATGCATTGTTGATTTTTGTGTAATAGAATTGTTCTTGAATGTTGTATGTTATTACATTTGCCATTTAGGTATGTAATAGTTCATTTATCAAAGCTCCATTCACAATCTTATTATACGGCTACGGTGACTCAGTAAATAGTTATCTACAACTTGACCGACCACTTCTCAGCAGGCATCTACAGATTTTGGGATGGATTTGCGACGAAGCACAAGCAATGATGACAAGTGCTTTGTCTTTTCTAAACGAGACAAATTTCGTTAGCGCATCAGTATTATCTCGAATCTCATTCGAAACAGAAATACATCAGGAAACTGATGTACTCATCAAACGATATGTACAAAACTTTTATTTAGTATTGGATTTCAGCACTAAAATGTTTAAAGTTAGTTTGCTTCCTGCAGCTTTCAACAATGATTGGTTACTTCAATATGGTAACGAGCTGAACGATTATCTCATACGAAGTGTGCCTCGTGTGTTCATCAATAGTACGTGTAATTGCGCTGTTTCAGATATGTGTCAAGAACCTTTGCGTATCGGTCCACCACATCTCGTGTTACCTGGTCTTGTTAAAGGCTGTTCACCGATTGATGGACTGCAAATGTCGACTCTTGAATGTTTTTTCTCGGCAGACTGCATTGCTACTATTCTCACCTATCTCGAATATTACACACAGATGGATGGGTCACCACCAGCTCATTTCGTTCCACCAAGGGTACTTCCTCTGTGGCTTGATCCATTAGATAATTCGACACCATCACGATTTTCACCAAACACTTCGATCAGTACAATCATAAGTGAATTGTTGGTCGAGCAGCTGGAAACAACAATATCCTATGAAAATTATTTTTCTTCATGTGCGCCAACTATGTGTCGCTATGAATATGTAAAACGAAATGACATTTTGTATGTGATAACATCAGTACTTAGTCTCTACGGTGGTCTTACTATTATCTTGCGATGTATCACTTGGAATAGTGTCCGAATCATTCAATCGTGCAGAGACCGGCTATCTATTCGTCAGGCTACAGTTCAACCAATCTCTTGAATATAAAAGACCGATGAAGATTGACTTATGAATTCAAAGTCCACGAACATGACATAAGCAGAATCAGTTTAGTTACACGTTCGCACTATTTTCTTATATTTAGCTTGTACCTATTTTATTCAAAGTACTTGTTGCTCGTATTGTACATGTTTTTTTTCGAAAAATCAGAATAAATGTCGCTATATTACGTTATTCAACTTTGAAGACTACCATTAAAATTATCAAAAAATAAGCAACGCTATGAGTAGCGGACATCATGCTAGACTATTTCTTTTCTTTTGTTTTTAGAAAGGTTATATTTACTTTCAGCTAAACTCAAATTTTTTTTCCGTACATAATATTTATTTATCAAGTGTAGCAGTAATAATTCAGCAAATGAAGTTCAAACACGTGAAAAAGTTTTCTGTATAGTTGGAAATCAGCGCCTACAAGTTTAAGAAACAAACTATGTAATGATGAGAAATGATACTGTTATGACCAGCCGTTAATGAGGTGAAGGGTATGGATGTGAGTGTATCTACCAAGATTCATCACACCTACACCCACATCGACGTCCATATCCATGATCTTTCATCTTATGTATGACTAGATTAGGTTTGAGCTTGATAATTAAAAGGGGCTGAAATGCATTACTATGTGCTTCTGGTCTTTCTTTGCTTATGTGCAGAAATATCCTCTCAAAATGTTGATGAGAACAAAAGTAGTTAAGTGCCCTGATTCCAAATATGCATTTTTTTTTACCTCAGAACTTGTTCTTCAAAATCAAGCTACGGAAATATGATGGAATTTTTGATCATTTCATTTAAATGAACTACACAATGAATATCAAGAGTGTTCAAAAGGAATCAGCTATTTTTCTTTGTACAAATTAATTAATTAACTTTTTTCATATTTGCATGAAAACAATTTATTGATATTAAATAGATATTCACAACAGTTAGGAATCAGCACAATTTAAACAATCATTATTATTGAAGTATTCGATTCGAATCTTTTCTGAATACAAGAATGTATTCTTTGTATAAAAATTGATCGAAATAACTGACTTGTTAATGTATAAATATAGAATGATTTTACATAATTAGTATAATAGAGAAGTGTAGTCAATGACATTAAAAATGATCCTATCACTTTATGATCACCAGTAAATAATGGTCCATGAATATAATATGTATAATAAATCATTCGAGTTAAACTTAATATTGAACTTAGACCAATTTGAACTAACATCATCTAAATAATATTATTTAATGAAAAAATTAGTAAATTAAAAATACACAAATATTGAATAAAACTTCGATATGAAAATAGTGACATTTCTATAGGAGTTTTATGAAAACATAAAAAATAATAACTATGCAAAATTCGGTATATTATCAATGTAAATATATCAAAGCCTTCACGTAACTGATCAGGAAAAAAAACAGATAAACATCATCAGAAAATAGCTAAAGTTTCACAACTAGTTGTTTTGAAATGTTATCTGAAATAATGTCATAGTTTTTTTCTGCATGACATGCAAACAATTGAATGAGGAATTCGATTCAAAAAAAGGTTAACCTTATCCAATAGAATGGACACAATAAAGTTATACAAGAAATTTTTTATTATAGAACACATTTTACTATTGTCTGCAGATTGGTTCTATAGTGAAAAGTATGACGTGATCGAATTTTTCACTTAAACCTACAGTTAGAAAGAACTTTCAATGTAGTGAATTCGGAATAGATATTTTTAAGGCCTATGTCTACTCAAAAATCTATTTTTGTCGAAGGAAAAAAAACGATTACTGAAACTTTTAGGGAATATATTTCTCCGTATGTGTTTAGCTCATTTTAAAAGTCTCAGCTAAAAAAATCTTCAGTTACTCAAGGTCTATCAAAGGTCAGAAGGTACGTTTTCGTATTTTTAAGAATTCTGTGTCCACATTGATTAATACATATTTCGATTTCTATGTAAGATTTTAGTTAAAACTAGTCGTTGCAATGCCATAAGGTCTGGTTTTTTTCACAATTTTGAATTTTTTTTCCTTTTGATGATAACTTGTCTTAAAAAGCTCTCAATACTAAGGTGTACTCTTACCGCAAAACGTTCAGTTTTTTTGCAATCGATAATTCAATAATGAAAAATGCAACTGTAGTAGTTTGTAAAGTGATATTTTTTCTTTTATTCAAAATTTTCTTGAAATTTCTAGCACGTAAAATGGCGAAGAAGTATTTGGAAAAAACAAAAGAAAAATCAGGAATAAAATTTGGCATTGATATTCGATGTTTTTTTTTTCTTATTTTTACAACTATCTAGAGAAAATCGCTAGTACTTTGCCAAATGATATTAATTTAAAGAAGAGTTTTTGGTTATACTATCTCGCTTGTAATATGTACATGAAGAAAATTATTTGCATAAACATGGGACTGTTTTGCAGCATTTACTACATGTGATTCTTTTTTTAAAATATGTTTTCTAACTACTTACTAAAATTAATTGTCTATCTGTTCTATGACTATTTCGATATTGGTTTTGATTAATATTGATGTTTTTTACTTGTGATTTAACTATTCTTCGTTGTCTCGTTCGTCTTATATTTGTTAAAGTAAGAAAACCAAATGTTAACATTAAGACATGGGGAATAACTCCAAGCCATAATACAACAAATATACTATCAAATATAGCATAAATACCAGTTGAAGTTGCACATTTTGGTCGAAGATCATATAAAATAAGAATATGAGAACAAGATATTAAACCAATAATAATAAATATTATAACATTACGATAAGCTACTTTTATTTTACTAAATGAACGTAAATAAACATCAGTTGATGATGACATATATCGATCAATAGCTGATAATAATATAAAATAAGTGGCAATTAATGGTATACTGGAAACATAATATGCACGAAATTTACAAAATATTCGATTGCTATTTTGTAAATCATAATCAAAATGATCAGCAGCTAAACGAGTACTAAGTCCAAATGTAATGGATAAAAATTCAAATATAGCTGAACAAAGAAAGTAAAATGCACAAGAATTTTCACGTAATTGTCGTGATGTAAATGTTAGAAAATTACATAAACAACCAAATATTCCAACAGTTAAAAGAATAATTGGTCCATAATATGTCATTTGAATTGTAACAATTTCAATTGTTGCCAAAAATGATGAAGATATATTTGTATTCGACATAATGATGTTTTTATTCAAGATTATTGTTCTATAAATATACATACAATTATTAGATTATATTCTCATAAAATTTACATACAAGTCACCATCTCTCGTCATTCTCAGAAATAAAAAATAAATTTTTGTTTTGATTGATATTGAAGATCATTTGTAAAATTTACAAAATTACTAAAAATATTTTTGACTAAATGAATTTGCAAAAGTAATATGATAACAATAAAGTATTGAATACATTTCCTTATTTTTCTAGAGAGAACAAAACAAAGTGACGATCTAGTAAAGAGGATGCTCTCCAATGGGTTAATTAATTTTGAAAGAGACTGTATGCATTATTCAGATTCTGATACGCTATGAATACTAAGAAAACAGTTCGACTTCTTAGCTTATTACTTCCGAAATACTGCATTTTTATGACATCTTTTTAAAGAAAATCCAGTTTAAAATGCTCACAGAAAAAAAAACAACAGAAAAAGAATTTTTTGTCAGATAATGAAAAAGTATATTGTTTTTAAAGAAAGCGTTCTGTAATTTGTCGCATGCATTCATAATCGACAAGAATACATTTGTCATCTGAAGGAACACATTCTTTGCCTTCTCATACAATTGTAGAATGTTTTACTCTTGGTTAAAAGTTGTTCTTTATCTGAATAGAAAATATTCTGAAGCGCTCTATTAACTATTGAAATGATGTTTCTTCCGTTGTTTTGTTGCAAAAGTAAAGAACGGATTCCTTCAATATGCAATGACTTTTCTTTAATGTTCTCTAGAGAATTGCTCAAGAACGAATACTTGAATTGATGAATCCAACTCAAACGATCTAAAGCCATTCTAAAAAATACAAGAACACGTTCTCTGTCGCTCTTCATATTACTTAATGATTTTTCCGGTGTTGAAAAATTGAGTTTCAAGAAAAAGAATGCATTGTTCTTTATTTCATAAGATCAATAAAAATATCCGGCTACATCGCGAAAGAAGATTAATTAGTTCAAATAACATTATTTACTTTTCTTAAATACATGAATCTTTATTTTTCGTTGTTTCTTGATTGAAAACTATTTCCAAGCCTAAGCTTTTATCTATCAATATCAAGAAGTTCCGATTTTTTGTACAGTAACACAAACAATAATTGTTAAGAAGTAAGAGTGCATATGTATTGCGATCAAGACATCCTAATAACATATGCTATCATAATTTATAACAGATGAAGAATGAAAGATAAAGAAACGACATAAAAAAACTATGCTGGACTATACAATCATAAATTACGTGTGCGATATTATTAAAGATAGCTGCCATAACAATCAATATAAATATATATAAGAGACTCTTTAAAATAAATGATAAAGATGAGCAAATGATTTTTTTGTGGTAAAATAAAGAAAACTATTAAGCTAGCTGAAGGAAAGAAAAAAAAATAATTGAAGAAATAAATAAAAGAACAGAAAATATAAAACAACATCTTTGTGAGTTACCTTGCATCAATAACTGCATGATCGCAAAAATCACTTGTTAGGAAATATTTTATTGAAAAAATTTTCATTTTCCTTTTTTTATCTAATTTTCTTTTATTAGTCGAAAAATAAATTATTTATTTATCTTAATTTTTTGAATAATTAAGATAAGATGTTTTTTCACTTTTCTATATAGAAATAGAATACAAACTATTAAAATAAAAATTAGATGATATGCAATGCTTGCAATAAATTTTTTTCTAATCTACTTTTTATATCGTATCTCTACTTTTAATTAGAACCGGTCAATAAATTTCCTGAATTACATATTATTTTTTCAAATAAGGAGCCTTGAGTTTAATAAATGAAATAAAAACGAACAACGCGATGATAGAGAGAAAGAATGAATTCGGATGCGTTTATTAAAACTCGTTTTCTCGAGTCGTAATGGAGAGATTCGGTTTTTGAGTGTAGGTTTGAGAGTGCGTGGAGATGTGGATGTGTAGTTTGACTCCATCTATATCAAACTCACAACCACACCCTCAAGTACACATTGTGTGTCATTATTCCCTTTCTGTTGCATACATGTTCAATAAAATACTCTGACGAAAATGATGGCATTGTGAATCAGGAAATTACACAAGTATAGTGGAATAACATTACTTAAGCGGACAACAGTTTTTTGAAAACATGCTTAAATGTCCTAATTTCAATTTCAATTTGACGTTTTCACAGTGATTCATTAAAACATCAAAATCAACTACTTTTGTCACAAAATATGCACGAGGACGCTTGAAAACGACAACTTATGCATTTGGAAAATATCCAAAAAATTTTTCGGTTATATTTTTGACATACACTACGCATAGAAAAAAAGCCATTTTTTTTGAAATATGATTCACAGTCAGTATAAAGTAAATGAACGATTAGTAAATTAAATTAAAGAATAAGTATGAAAATCGAACTGAATTATAGTGCCCGCTTCATTCTCACAAATAACGCCTCAGAGGCAATTAAAAAAACCAATTAAAGATGATAACACATTTAGAGAACATCACGTTTTATTGAGATTTTCGGCAATTGTTTCAAATATTGTCGATAATAGGCTAATTGAACTAGACCCTTTCTCAATTAATGTAAAAATATTTAGTATAGAATCAACAATATTTTTAGAGCTATGGACTTTATTATATCAATGAGTTAAATCAACAAAAAATGCAGTTTACCTTCTAAATGATGCTTCAAACTAATATTGTATTTCAGTTCTGGATTAATAATCGATTAGACAAGTCGATTTAAGCGAATACATAAACAAGTAAAATATTGATAACTTTTCATCTATGCGAAAAACATTTGATAATTAATGTTTAGTAATGGAACATACTTCAACTTGGGAAACATTAAAATGCCAATGTTCAGCTTTTTTTTAAGAACTACATATGCAAATACATTGTCAGTGTATTTATTCGTTTCAAATTTTGCAAATCATCGGTAGTACAAACTGTGCTGATCGATAAGATAAGAAAAAAGCCGTTGACCAATATTAGACCAAAATGTAGCCTAAACCGTCCTGTATTTGTGCTAAAGTTTTCAAATCTTTGCGCTTTACTCTTGCGTTTTTTCCTTACGTTTTGATGTTAAAATATGAAAATTTTAGTACAAATACAAGACGATTTGGGCTACATTTTGGTCTAATTTGATGTGAATTTACCACGAAAAATCCTGAAAATAGACGACAAATAAGATACTCGACTGCAAACAACTATACAAAAGATCTTTGAACTTAACGAATTTTATATGGATCGACATCCTCCATCTTACTCTTTCTAACGGTGAAAACCTAACCTCTATAGCTTGTATCGTTGAAAAGTTATTCAAAAAATGGTAGTTAGTACTTTAAGAAAAATCTGGCATTAGTAAGGTGCACGTAATGCAAAAGTTGAGCAGAAAGAAAAACTCAATC